AAACAGTTCCAAAACCCCCTCTTCAGTCCTCCTGGGATAGTACGTAGGACTATCTTCCCCCTGCTTTCACATACAAGCCCCTTTGGGGCTCTCCCTAGAGATGTTCACAGTGTGCAATTAAAGAGGGGTGGTGTAGAGATCTTGCCAATTTTTCTGCATATTTCAAACTACCTATATTGTCTCTGGACTTTAGCCATGGAAATAATTTAGCTTCTCAAAGCAGACAATTTTTGTCTTTGGCATAGTTGATATTCCCTAAATAAAAAAAAGATCAGCCTACAAGCTATTGACTTAGGAAAAAGAAATTATTTAACAGAATCCCATTGCAGAAATGTTACTATTAATCAGTTTAATCATAAAATTCTTCCGATTCTAAGTTTATGCAAAAAATATTCATCTGAGCAGATATACAATACCAAACATCCATCTTTTCCAAAAATAATTGGCAGAACAATCTACCAGTTGTTCATAGTTTGTTGCAGATATTCCCAAATGCTTATAAATTTTATTACAAGACTTTCATAGATTTTTTAGTTTTTAAAATATTAAAGATTTCATAGACGCCATCAATACAAAAGAAATATTCACAATTTATCCTTCAGTTTGCAGTGTTGCTTGTTTGTAAAGGTTAAACCTTCATAAATTTTGAATTCCTGATAATTCACAAGCTGAATACCAAGATTTAAATTGTAGTGATAACAGTCACTTTCAGGATTCTGCATAGTTTCCACACAGTTTTATTTTCTCCATGATTGCTTACTGCAAGTACCGCTTTACTTCCCGACCCCGCAGTAGGGCACTTGGACAACAAGCACACTTGGCTGGATGTCGAGGTCACATATGGGCTGTTCACATTAAACATACTTCAGGAATGTTTCAAGGCATTACTTAGACTGTTAATTTTTTTTAAATGTTTCAAGTCATGGTTTTAGACTGATCAGATGCCCAAAGAATTTGTAGGCATGGTTCAGGGATCTGGTCCAAGTACACTGGGTGCAAGTAACCACCCTGCTGTCAGTGTCTGCAAGCTCAATAGGTACAGGTGTTCAGTGCCAGTTGGCCCCTGCCAGAGAATAATATTGCATATTTAGCTTCCTAGTATAGATGAACCTTTAGGGGCAGCAGTACAGCTAAACTAATTTTCATGTCCATCAGCAGTGGATGAACAATTTATGCAAAGATGAAAGAATTAATCTAATCTTTACAACTCGGTTGACTTGACACATATTAATTTCCTCTTTCTTAAGTAATGCTTAGAGCATTTAGTGATTGTAGATCCTTGGCAGAACAAAAGCAGGTAAAAAGATCAGTGCATCTTAAACATCTTTTTGTTCAGATCCATGAGAAGCTGTACCTTTGCATTGCTGCTGATTCCCATGTTTTGGTTCTATCACAGAATCACAGCATATGCCAAGTTGGAAGGGACCCACAAGGATCACTGAGTCCAATTCCTGGCCCTGCACAGGAACATCCCCAAGAGTCACACCATGTGCCTGAGAGAATTGTCCAAATGCTTCTTGAACTCTGTCAGGCTTGGTGCTGTGACCACTTCCCTGGGGAACCTGTTCCAGTGCCCAACCTACCCACTGGGTGAAGAACCTTTTTCTAATATCCAACCTAAACCTCCTCTGACACAACTTCAGGCCATTCCCTTGGGTCCTGTCCCTGGTCACCACAGAGAAGAGATCAGTGCCTGCCCCTCCTCTTCCCCTTACAAGGAAGTTGTAACTGCAATGAGGTCTCCCCTCAGTCTCCTCCAGGCTGAACAGACCAAGTGACCTCAGCCACTCCTCATATGGCTTCCCCTTAAGGCCCTTCACCATCTTTGTTGCCCTCCTTTGGACACACTCTAATAGCTTAGTATCTTTCTTATAATGTGGCGCCCAAAACTGCACACAATATTCAACATGAGGCCCCATCACTGCAGAGCGGAGTGGGACAATCCCCTCCCTCGACTGGCTGGTGATGCTTTGCCTGATGCCCCCTCGGACACAGTTGGCCCTCCTGGCTGCCAGGGCACTGGTGACTCATATTCAACTTGCCATCGATCAGTAACACCAGGTCCCTTTCCATGGCACTGCTTTCCAGCATCTTATTGCCCAGTCTGTATGTACATCCAGGGTTGCCCCATCCCAGGTGCAGAATCCAGCACTTCCCCTTTTTGAACTCCATATGGTTGGTGATTGCCCAATCCTCTAATTTGTCAAGGTCTCTATGCAGGACCTCCCTGCCTTCAAGGGAGTCAACAGCTCCTCCCAGTTTTGTGTCCTTGTTGTCTTTCTATTGCAGCACAAACCCAAAAGACACTGCTATCACATAACTGATGCACAGACCAGGCAGTGACACAGTACAGGACAGAAAAACAAACACTAACAGAAGGAGGTGTTGGGGCAGGGAATAGGTGGGGAGCAGGAAAATGCATGAAAAGCAAGGCGTGAAATATAGTGTAGATCAGCTAAATTCAAGTATGAGCTATGACAGGAATCACATGAAAGCAGTTCTGCATCATCTGCCGCTTCTAAAGTGTGCCCCATGAAACTTCAGCCGGAACACTGAATCAGCATCTTACTGCAGTCAACCACACTGTCTTTCCCACAGAAACTTCTCTCCACCTTCCACTTGAGGGGAAGATAAGAGCTCCACTGGGTCTTGGGGAACTTGTGGGCCAGGGCAGAAGGATCAGTCTGACCACGATCCCTCATGAACCAGTCTGTTGCTTACAGCAGGGGTCATGGGGTTAGGAGTTGGAACAACTGAGAAGTAAATCTCAGCAAATTTTACTCACTATCCTCCTCTCCAGACTTCTCACAGCTTTTTCCCTCCCAAGCAGAGATTGCTTTATCCCATGGCTTCTCAGTAATACCCAATTGGAAGTCAGGCACCTGAAATGGTTGTGCTGTTGTTCCAAGTGCATATGGCAGTCTAGCGTAGGCATCAGGAGCATGGTTCATCAGACCAAGGGTGGACATAAACATCTGAACTAGCTGTCTAGATTCCATTTATCATTTACTGAAACAGATACTTCTACAAAGGGACTCATGACCTTGAATATTGTGTGCAGTTTTGGGCACTGCAATATAAGAAAGGTATTAAGCCATTGGAGAGCGTCCAAAGGAGGGCAACAAAGATGGAGGGCCTTGAGGGGAAGCCACCTGAGGAGTGGCTGAGGGCATCTGTTCAGCTTGGAGAAGAGGAGACTGAGGGGAGACCTCATTGCAGTTACAACTTCCTTGTAAGGGGAAGAGGAGGGGCAGGCACTGATCTCTGTGGTGACCAGGGACAGGACCCAAGGGAATGGCCTGAAGTTGTGTCAGAGGAGGTTTAGGTTGGATATTAGAAAAAGGTTCTTCACCCAGTGGGTAGGTTGGGCACTGGAACAGGTTCCCCAGGGAAGTGGTCACAGCACCAAGCCTGACAGAGTTCAAGAAGCATTTGGACAATTCTCTCAGGCACATGGTGTGACTCTTGGAGATGGTCCTGTACAGGGCTAAGAGCTGGACTCAATGATCCTTGTGGGTCCCTTTGTCAGAGACTGAAATGGTTAATGATTTATGCATTCTAGGAGACTTTTGCAGGCTTTTGACTTGCATGATACCTCTGATGAGCAGTCAGGCCCCTCCCTCCCTCCAGTGCTGAAGGTGTGAAGTCCTGAAAAGATAAGAGCTGAGCTTGCAGGCTTTTGACTGTCAATACATCTGACGAGCAATCAGGCCCCTCCCTCCCTCTGCTAATCTTGAAAGGCGGGAACCAGGCGAGACACAAAAGACAAAACACACAGACCTAGGAGATGTTGGAGGCTCGAGGCGTGGCCCGTGACACTAACCATGGATATAACTCATAACTTCTTGGAGTATGGGGGCTTCCCTCCTTCACCCCCAGCAGATCAAGGCCACTTCAACTGACAGACATGGAAGCATCGCTGGACCCCGTGGGCGGTGACTATATACATCTGTCCACTCTCAGCTTTTCTTTGCCTTACTCTCCCTTGCTCTTATCCTGCCTTTCTCTCCCCTGTGCATTTTTCTCCTCCCCAGAAAGGTTATGACAGCACCCAAAAATGTTAACTTACCTATTGATTCAAAATTGTTAAAATAAACCTTGCTAGTATGTTTTTAGACACCGATTATTTAGTGTCGTTTCACTTTAATCCACCCCAAGGGAATTATTGATAAAAACCTGAGTTACCCCCTCTCCCCTTTTCCTGGGGTGGGTCGTAACACCCTTCCAACTTGGCATATGCTGTGATTCTGTGATCTCATGCTAAAGTTGCTTTCTGAAATGAATGGTATGCCAGAAAGGGCCTGTTTCCCCCCATTAATTCTAGAGGGAGTTCAGATGTGCTTCAGACATGATCACAATACTGCAGACACATAAAGTTAATGAGGTGAAGCTCAGACATTGTTGCCCTGTATAATGAATTGAATAATCCAGAAATAAGAATATCATATTCCAAGATGTGTTGTAGCTGAATTAACACAATCAAAGTTTTACTTAAAAAAGCATTGCATTTCCCACAATGTTTCAGTTTTCATTTAATCTAGAAAACACTGTAGAATGAAATATTATTTGTAGTATTGCTCTTGAGTGTCCACTTGACAAATCAGGATGTACCACAACCAGAACATGAGATGTTACATAGATTTTATGTGCAGGATTCCTTGAAATTTGTCTATTGCTTGATGTAGGTGTCAGCTTACTCATTTCTAGGAATTGGCTCCTTGTCAAGAAGAAAGCTTGTAATCCCTGTAGCCTTTTGCTTTCTCACAGTTTTTTGGGAGCAGCCGGTCTTAGCTTCAGCCTGAGGGAAGAAGCAATCACAAGCAGTGGTGTTCTGGGAGTCTCACACCCTCATGTTTTTTCTTCACCACGTTAAAAGTGTAAGCATGGCCATATGTGTCATTTCTGAGTTTCCCAGAACAGTACAAATTTACAGAGATACATAAGAAAGGCCTTCAGGCCTGTTAGTACGTGTACTTATCCACACGTACAAAGCCACAAGATTTAACAGGGATGTAAGAAACACCCTTCCTGGATCACCTCAGTGGTCCCCCCAACCAGTATTCTGACTCCAGCAGTGGCAGCAGGATATATTCTTTAGGGGAAGTATGTGAGTGTCACATGAAAGGGGGGTTTCCTCAAACCGTTTGTGTTTGTTTGGTCTGTCAACACCTCAGGAAAACCAAGACCCTTTTGCCCGACTAGTCTGACAGCATCCCATCATGGGGACTCCACTGATCAGCCTGCTATATTGGAAGGCACTTGGGCTAACTTGTTTAGGGACACACGCAGACGATGTATCAGAGCTGAATCCTTTATTACAATTTAGAAAGAGGGACCCCCTCCTGGGTCTCCCCACTTTTATCAAGTATGACTGCTGGTACCCTTGAAGGACATATGCTAAGCAGTGTCTGGAGTGACACACTTTATTAATAAACGCACTGATAATAGAAAATTGTAACAGGTTAAGGTTCGAAGATTGCAGTTGATAGTAATTGACTGCAAAACCGAATTTAAAGCAATGTACAGACAAGCTCTAATCACCAAGGAAAGCTAGCTTGAGATAATAATTCAGAACACACAGAGTAAGGTTCTTAACCCAATAGGCTTCCCCATGGAGAAGACAGGTTCAACTTGTTAACTGATCCCAAAAGTTGTGATGGAGTCTTCCCTAACTTCTCCCCTAACTTTTTACTATTTCTTTACATTTTGGTTGGAGCTTTAGTGATTCTAGTCATACACACTTTTGTTACTGATGGGTATAAAAATTCTCTTGCTTTGCTCTGAAATCACAGAATCACGGAATATTTCCACATTCCACCAGGAAGTAACAATTGCATTTAACATTATAATATCTGTACTGCTATAACTTTTGTTAGAATTTGAATAAAACTTCGCAGTTTTCTCTGATTTTAGCCCAGTCATCTTCCCACAGCAAGCCTACAATTTTCCACAGTCCATTCCCTCTCACACATCTGCAAAATCATGTAATTTAATTCATAAGTTGAAATTTGCAATAGTGTGACCTCCTTACCTTTTCTAGCAAACCATGCAGGGATTTTATTAGAGTACTTCTTTTCTTGCTCAATTGAGGCAGTTTACCATGGCTTATAGTACAATATTTGCAAAATATTAATACAATAATACTACTACTATATAAGCCCTGGCATACTGATATGGTACTTAAAACACCAGAAGTGTCTAGATATATTTCCCATTACCTGACCTCCAGTCATTCATTACAACCTTGAAACAGAGCATCTGACTCAGCTGCTCTCTCTCTACACCAGGAGAAGCTGCCTGTCTGCTGATGGCTTTTTTTCTCTATTTCTTTAGACACCTGTCAGCACCCACAGCCCTCTTTCTAGCATAGCATCCTTTGGCCTATATTTAGACTTTGAAGAGTAAGATGTTCTTAGTCTGCCAGGTATCGGGAAGGCATATTCCACAACAAACAGCATCCTCATTGCATTTTCAAGGATTCATGTTGCTTTGCTTTTCTTGCTGACCCTGTTACATCTTCCATTTGATTTAACTCTCTGTGTTGAAACAAAATAACACCTTGTCAGTAATGGGATTATGATATTAAAAATGTTACACACCATTGTCTTGTTTTTTATAGGTTGCAAGTTTAATGGTGTTCTACATCATGCCCCTCAGGTCTTGGATACTAAAGGATTTTGGTTACTGTGAGGATCTCAGCTTTCACTGCAAAAAGGGGGAATTTCTACTCCTCCTTATCGCAAAGAAAAGCTTGAAAACATTATTTCAGCAAAAATAAAAAATTTAAAATCTAGAATCAAAGTACCATAAAAGGCAGAGTTTATTTATCATTATACATGACTTTGGCAAGCGTGGAGGGAAGGGACATTCATTCATTATTTCTGAATGTTTGAAGGGGCAATACTGATGGTGGAGATTTCATCTTTGGGAATGCTTTGCCACCAATGTCTTTACAGCAGTAACAATATAATTCTCTCCTCAGTTTGTGTGAATATGAGTAGCCCTCTGGTCTCATTTATTCTCTCTGCAGATCTGGACCTTGATCTTGCAAGCTATTTATTTTGTACCCATAAAAAGGTGCTGCAGTGAAATGCAGTAGTGGTACACACAGGTAGGAAGCCCTGACTGTGCAAGATAATAGATCTTGCAGCTAAGCAAACTGAGTGCAAAAATTGGGAGACATTCAGTTTATCTATATTAAATTTGCCTTTATAGAAATCACAGTATGTTCAAATCCTGCACTGCTAAAAAAGAAGATAACGTCATACAAAATTCCTGTTCACTAAGTGTCCTTTACTCCAAATGTCAAAGGATGCACCTCTTCTCACACTCCCTGTTCAGGCGACACACAAACACCAGCATGGAAATAGAGGGATTTTAATGCAAAATCTGAAAGGTAGCTTCCTTTCGGTTCCATTAGGTGGAGCTCTCAGACAAGAAGAAATGAATGAAAAAAACAAGGCAGCAGGCACCCTCAGGAATTATTAGTACTGTACTATGCCGGTATTTTTCCCTGCCGAGAGCTCTCTCTTCTTGATAGAATTCATTTGTATCCAAATAGAAAGGTTATTACATGCTTTCAAAACTATTATTACTCAGCAACCTGCCTCTACAACTAGGTTTTCATTAGCTTAACACACTACCTAGATCAAGCTGCAAACTTTGGAGATAGCTGAATGCTGCATCACTGGTCTCAACATAAATAACCAGACCGACAGAGAAATAGTTTCGGAACAGAGTAGCAGAGCAGATAAAGAATTTAAGAGCAATACATAAAAATCAGAAAATTCCAGCAAGAGCTTGACCACTAATGATAAAAGTCCACTGATATTAATGGTACAGGATTCAGCTGAAAAACTGGCCATGCAGACACAAAGGCATAAATCAAATGGAAATGGCAAAATGTTTGCAACCTGATTTTCTGCCACTTTGCCATTCTAGTTTCTACTCTTGTTTTCATCTCATAGTTAACATATACATTCTTACAATGTTTTGGTGTAGCTCTCCCAATTCCTAGACAAGGGAAGGGACAAAGATAACCCTGTGTAAAGTACAGTATGAGCAAAGGACAAAATGCTGGGTACATATTTTCAAGGCTATTGACTCATACCAATTGTTTGTTATGTGCAATAACTTAGAAATGTCAATGTGTTTGCCAAATAAATTCTGTGTTTGGCAAAATGGGAAAAAGGAAAACAATGTTATATAGACTATTATCAGAATTAACAGAAATTAGCAGAGGTTGTCCAGAGATATATGGAAGGAAAGAGTCTGAACTGTTTCCTGTTAGACTCTACACCTTAGTCAAGCGAAATTATTTACTTAATTTAATCAATTCAATTGTGATTAAATCTTGCTAGTTTTATCTTTTATAAAGGCAAACGGGACACTTTTGTAACTGACCATTTCAGTAAAGCTTAGCCCGTCTCCTAAATTTATCCTTGATATAAAAATATGATCATTTAATGACCATTGAGGTGCAATGCTGGAAGGTGGTTTGTATTTAGTGTTTGAATATGATGTCTAGTTCCAGATTATTTTGCAACAAAACCTTTTGCAAACATTTGAACAGTCTGAAAGTCTGTTCCATATTCAAACTTTTTAAAACCTGTACTCTCTTGTATCAAAGTAAACACCATTTAGCACATTGCACTAAAATAAGTAATACTCAGTGCCTGTGAGACATGAGAACTAGCAACTTTGTTTCTGTGTTGAAATCAGTTGGCCTTATTATTTGGCAGGCTTTCATTTTACACACTACTCTAGATTTGCTTCACCAATGTAAAAAGAAGTCTTCTCCTACTAGTACAGACTGCTGCAATGTAAGAAAGGTGTCTTTCCCCAACACCGAAGCTTCATCCCTCACTTCCAGATTCTGCTCTGCACAGTTCCTCAGAGGAATGTTTTGTGACCAGGAATATCTTTTTAGCTTTAAATTTTTTCCATAAGCACCTGCCATTGACATTAGAAAGGTGTCATAGGTCAGATCTGACCTTTCCTTCTTGACACTGACACCATAGAGCAGGATTGTTCTGGTCTCACTGGACAAAGAGCACTGGTTGCAGTGGCGGCAGCTGCAACCCGTATCTGATGCAGAAGGCATAAAAAGGCAAAGCATCAGGAGCACATCTTCTTTTTCACTTTCCCTCATCTGCCTTCAGGATGCCCTTAATGACTGCAGCACAGTAGGCAGTTTTCAAGCTCTCCCCTGTGAATCTGCTCCTCTTTCTGATGATAACACAAATCTGTGGTTTGATATGCTCTATCCTCAGTCATTTAAGGCTGTGCATAGCCTCTACTCTACTCATCCTGAGACCCTTAACTCTAGTAGAGGGAGTTCTTATTATTATCCCTATTTTATGTCTTCAGGCTATGTGACTTTTTTAGCGTTATCCACTGAGCCAAGGGCAGAGTAGGAAACTGAACCCAATTCTGATGCATTCCAGCTCTGCCCATTGAACTATACTTGAAGGTAAGGTGACATTACACAAAGAGATGAGCGCAGGTCTGATTTAAACTTCAAGAGAGGGAATGTAGGTTATGGCAGTCCTACCCCGTTTCCCTAGATACCACAGAGAAGCAAGCAGGAGAAGGGTCAAGACAGTGGAGAGCTGAAGCACTTGGTGCCCCACAGTGAGCCTCTGACAAAGTCCTATAGGCACAGAACACAGCTGGTAAGATTCACGTGGCTAGGCATGACAGAATCAACATGACCATTTTCCCAGTGTAAAGCAAAAAGCTCTTTCCATAAAAGAAATTTTTCCAGCAAGAGCTTGTTTTAGGAGATAAGTGTTTTTCTGTGGAAATTTTTCCAGCAGCAAATTCTCAACTATCTGCTCTAAGTCCCCTTAATTCTCCAGCTTTTCGGTGTCCATGTCCTTGAACGGGTAAAGAAGTTCTCTTATTCATGATTTCCCTAAAGTACAGTCTAGTTAAAATACAGAAAGGCAATCTTAACTACGGAGATTTTCACATAGTTAAATTAAAAGTGTCAAGCTATTGTGACTAGATTTGTCAAAATCTCAATGATAAGTTCTGCTGTGCAGCAAACTGTGCTTCTTCCATGAAATGCTGGTGAGGAACGGCAGGATGCTACTTCTTAGGAGGCTGCAGGCATGCAAACCTTCTGGATGTGTCTCCTCAGCTTGCATCTGACCCACACACCCAGAGCTGTGCCACCCTTTTGAAAGGGAGAGCCTGAGCAGACAGTCAGTGCACATGCTCTGGGCTCAGAAGGAAAACACTGTGATCTTGATGAAAAAAACAGCATTCACACAGCCAAAATCCTGATCTGTTACTGATAGTGCTGCACCACTCTCTTTCTTTTCTTCACCTGATATTCGGGCATGGTGCCTTGAAGAGAACATAAATTCACTTCTCTTGACTTCTTTGTCTATTATATTCACTGGAAAAGTGCTCAGTGCTGGTACTGTGTCTCCCAATATGGTTTCTTTTTGAATATCTGTTTCAGAAAACACACCCCTGCTGCAGCACAGTGCAGCCTATAGCAATGAAGAGGAATAATAACAAAATCCTTAAAGACAGATCAGGCATTCTGGCTGCTATACTTGGTTCAAACTTGAATCTGAAAGGCTTCTATAGACCATCAAAAAATATTTTCCCCCAGTCTCACAACAGGTTATTGAATATTAGACATTTCTGCTAGTAATTATATGGGAATAAATTCAATTAGCTGAATTTGTTATACTTCTTAAAACCAAACTTTTATTTGCTCTGAATAAATTTAGTCTCCTGTTTAGTAACAGTCTCCTCCTAAGTTTCATTAAGATCTCATCCTGCCAATGGCTGTGCATCTGCTAGTAAACAAAGGTGCTTTGTGAGATGCCGTGATAAACAAAGCTTCCCAGTCGAGTTACATGTTTCACTCAGGACTGATCTGTTCAAAACCTGGTAATCCTGCACATTTGTTTAAACGAGTGGTTCTGTCATGACCAGCCCTGACCTACTTTCCCCAATGCCTTATTTGTTGCACACACATTTCAGCTTTCCTCTGACTATCATCCAAACACAGACTGCCTTTTGCTATCTCTTAGTAAAATGCTCAAAACACTGGGGGTCCTGATGAAGGGACACCAACACCACTTTGCTACAGAGAAAGTACAATGTATTGTACCCATTCAAACCAGAGGTATTAACCTGTTCCTCAAGCAAGCTTGGGATCCATTTCTCTTAGCTGGCCAGTTTGACGTTTTATGGCAGGGAAACAGAGGAGCAAGTCAAATATAAAAAAATTTTACAACTCCTGCAAAAAGAAGTAATCTACAGAAGAAAGATGCAATTAAAGGGTAATAGCCATTACCCATGACCATGTCTAACCTCTCTTTACTATTGGCAAGAGATAGATGGAAGATTAAACTAGTTCACTCCCTCCACAATACATTGTTCTTCATCTTTTAAATGACACACAATAGAGCCTTCTGTTAGACATATCAATCTCTTTCACATTGCACATGAGCTATCATTTTTTTCAGGACATCTTTCTGCTCTTTAAATGACAGCTTGATTGTTGGAGACAATCTCCATCACAGCAAAACTGTTTATCTAGTGGTTGAGTAAGTGGAGCTATTAGTCCTAAGTCCAGTTGTGTGGTCACTAGCTAGAGAAAATCATTTCAAGTTGAATGGATTCTGTTTTGATGTCCAATATCCAAATCTTTAACTCAAAGAGGGTTCTCTAAAGGTTCATGCAAGAACAGAAAGCTTCTCCCCCAGTTCTTCCACTGAACTCTTCAGTATGATATTGGGCAATTCCTAGATGTTTTCTAAATAGTTCACCTCGAGTTTAGTTTTCAGTAGAGATTTTTCATTGCAAATGCATAGTACAAAAAAGACAGTTTGTATTTCAATGCAAATAAAAAAAACATAACCCAAGGTATTGGTAGAGTGCTTGTGTAGGAGTGTGTAGGATGAGTTAAGTGGGAGGGAAAGGGAAAGGGAAAGGGAAAGGGAAAGGGAAAGGGAAAGGGAAAGGGAAAGGGAAAGGGAAAGGGAAAGGGAAAGGGAAAGGGAAAGGGAAAGGGAAAGGGAAAGGGAAAGGGAGGCCAAATTAATTAATCTACTTCTCTCTCCCTGCACTAAATGAAAAAAAGACTGGTAAGCATATTTGAAAAGAGTCAAGCAGAAAAATATTTATTTACAAACTTCTCCACCATTGTATCAGGTAGAAAGGAGGAGGCATTAAAATTTCATCAGATTTCTCTTCTGAAATCTGATGGAAACAGAGGGGAGCCATATTAGCTACCTCTTAGGATGGACATGTGCCCAACATAAGCTCTCTTTCACCCTCTGATCCAAAAGACATGTATCAAAAAACATTCATGGACAATTAGGTCAGAGATACCTCCTTTGCTCCTCCTTTTCCTTAACTTGCTTGCTGAGTTTATTCCAGGTTTTCAAATTCCTGTTGATAAAATTGAAGAACAAAAGTGCAGCTAGGGCTTGTGCAAGTGACAATTTTCAGAGTACCTTCATTCTCTAAGCAGCTTGACTTTTCTCGTCAGGGAAGCATATCTGTCAAATCACATGTTCCTCTCCCTAAGATCCAATAACAGGGCGCTGATATCTGAAAAAGGATGATATGTGGGAACACACAGTATTTAGCAAAGTTACAATAATACAACAAGGCAATCCACTTTCTACTACTCCTGGACAGAAGAATTAAGTAAATCACCTGACCTTGGATAGCGAAGCAGTACCACAGTCAGGAGCAGAACTGAGCTTTCCCAAGTCTCAACCCCACTGTGCAACCACAGGGCCACATAACTTGCTCTCACAGTTTCTTAGAAACTCTGAGCCACTCTGGCAGACAATGACATCATGAATAAATCCAGCTGGCATCAAACACAGCCTTAGCTAGGTACAGGATGAACTTCAGCCTGGGGAATACAGCAAACATGGTCCCTATGGCCAGGCCATGTCAGTTCCTGCACCATCACACAAACCATACTCCCTCTTTTTCTGGGATGAGGTGTCAGGTTTGGATCAGGAGCAGCACAAGGACAGCCCCAGCAGTAAGTGTTTGAGGGCATAGCACAAACACCATCCCAAATGTAATTATTTGTGCCATAAGCCAGATGCCCTGAAAGAGGGCCGGGGGGCCTCTAAGTAAACCCAAAGGCAAACAGAACTGTCCATCCTCTACTGTTATCTCCTCTGAAAAGCTAGGAGCGCTTGTGTCAGCAGCTTCGAGAGCGTCTGGAAAAGTAGAGCTACCTGATTTTCTGTCCCAATTTGAGGCTTTGATTTGATAAAGATCCATTCTTACAGCCTTGAGTCATTTTAGTTGCTTTTTCTTGCCTTTCTTTTCCCAAATAGTCTAACCTGGAAAGTGGAACTCCAGTACCCCAGGAGGGTATTACTGACGTGATGCAGCCTGACAATATGTAACTCCTGTCTCCTTCTTGCGTTTCTACTCTCGAGTATTCTATAAAGAACATCTTTTTTTTTCAAAGCTGCATTGTTCCAAGGACTCAGTTAATCTGTTCTTTGCTGTGGCCAATAAGTGCTTTTTTTTATCCCCATAAATGACCACTATTTGGTACCTCTCCTCACTGTGAATTTTTCCAAACTGTAAGGTCTTACACCCCCTTATGTAAAGCTACATCTTCTGAATAATGCATATAGATTATGAACTCCTATGATTTTTCTTATGGCTTTGATTCATCCAAATAGCTGACCAAAGGGAAGTCCATTAATTAACATTACTGATAACTCAGATCTTCTTTTCTGGCTCCCTCTTTGGGAGGGTTATTTGTTCTGTTTGTTTGATTGCTCTTCATGCTGCGTGTTCATGTCTACCCAGGTTTTTATGTTGTGTCCATCATCATGAAATGTGAGATGACTGATAACTCTCTTCTAGTTCACAGAACAGATACCGTCTGAGCAATAGCAGATTTTGGCCTAAAAAGCAGTACTTGAGGCCTGACATATAATCTGTGGATTTGTCCAATCTAATTACTGCCACTTGCATCAGTGTTTTTATGATATAGACACACATCCGCTCAGAAAAATCACTAAAGCTACAGAGGCAGCTGCCAGGCAATCGTTCCATCACTTCTGACTTGGAAATGATTTGAAAGATGCTATAGAGATGGAAGGCTCAGAAAAACATCATCGGTCCTTAAACAACATATTTTCCTTTGAGTCTGCTCATAGTCAAGTACTCTTTTATTAGATTAGACTCAGTTTTTCACTAATTTAATTGTCCTTTCTTGTAATCAGGTAAAATTCTGGTTTTGTTGGAGTCAGTAATAAAACTTCTACAGCAAAAACTACTGAATATATCCATTTTTAAGATAATAGACTGAGAGTTGGGCTAAATTAATATGCATTGAGAACTGTGCAGCAATGCCAGACAAACTGCCATACCCAAGCTCATTTGTTGACAATTACCATTAGTGTTTCTAACATGTGTGGCTCTCTTCAGTGCAGACACATTCCAGGAACAGTTGGCCATGCGCATTCACTGGGCATCTTAGACATGTTACTGGCACTCAGTCTCTATGGAATTGTTCTAAAAGTCTCAAAATCATTCCAATAAACCAGAAAGTATCTCCTTATATTTTTTTGCATTTAAAATTCCCATGAAGTCATTGAAAACTGGGCATGCAATGAAAGATCATATTTCGAAATGATCAGTCTGTGTTTGACCACCTGCACCAGAATCACCTCAAGCTAACACCAGTGTAAATTACAAGCCTTTCACTGACACCCCTAAAATGATATGCAAAAGCAACTGCCCTATAAAAAAAGAAAGGGATTAGGCTGATTGGATGTTTCCATTGGTAAGGAAATTAAAAAATGTTATTTATTTCAATCTGAACTCATCAGTCTTCTTCCTGATCTGCCCTTGTCTTCGCTGAAAGAGGGAAACACATTGGTTTTGCATTGCTGCTGAGCTCGGGTTTACAGTGAGAGAGGATTACGTTATGACTTCTCCAAGCAGCAATCTCTGTCGGCACAAGCTTTATTCACCACCACAGACCACTGGTGGTTCCATTCTCAAACATGGCAGCCCTCACCCAGGGATCCAATGGCTTCAGATCCTATCCCAGACCAGGGATGTACTATGAGGATTTGTGCCCATTAGTGGAATCCAGGGTGACATAGACTGTCCAAGCCTAGGAATATAAAACTGACCTTGTCTTTCCAATAGGTTCTAGCAGGTCTGACTAAACATCCTGGCAGGAGGACTGGAGGTCCGACAGGCAGTGAGGATAACTTCATAGTGGCTAAGGTTGCCTGTGAACATAACAAGAAATAGCCCAGTCTCCTTGTGCCATCTACGTCGCATAAGCATCCAGTACATTAGCATGGGATTTAATTTGGGCATTTAAAGCTGCCTGCATAAGCTTGTGACTGTGGGTCTTTTCACTGTGGGTCTTTTGTGCATGTTCTTCCTTGCTAATATGTATTTGCTGCAGCACATTTTCAAAGGGAATCGAGAAAGAGAAAACTAAAAGCTACATATATTAGTATTCCTGTTTAATTTAATATCAGATTACAAGGTGGAAATTAAAATGATTTTTCTGTCACTGTTATCTCTCTTCACTTGGCAAAGATCGATTTCCTTCTTCCCCACTGCTTACTAATAAGACATCTGAAAACTAAGATGGTTTTTATGTTTACTTCCTTGTTTAAATCAGCTTTCTCAACTAAGGACAGTTTTGGCAATATATTTGCTGTTTAACTTGTGATTTCTGTGTTGGCTCAGGCTCCACCAGTGACAGAACATCAAACACAGAGAAGCTATATATTTTTAATTATGCAGGGATGCCCTCGTGCATAAGTACATGCAAATTAAACAAACAGAATTCAAAACCGATTCAGAACAGATTGTGCATGTTACACAATCAATTGCATTTTGGGCTCAGAAAAGATGGTGCACTATTTTGCTTCTCATGCTGACAAGCATGGAGATTATCAGCCATCACTTGGTACAGCATCATGCCATTGCTACTGCTGTGTCTGGTACTGCCAGGTTTGGTACCACTTTATCGAGAGCTGACAAGCCAAGGCAGGCTGACGGCAATACACGAATGCTCGAGTGTGAAATCAGCTGAACAACTGGTCTACACAGAATAACACTTTTCTACAAAGGAAATACCAATGTCCAGCAAGAGGATTTGAAAAAATATGTCTCAAAGAATCTGACATAAGCACCCAGCCATCTGCCTCCAAAATCTAGCACTCTTTTGAAATGAGAAGGATAAAATAATGAGAAAAGTTGCTGTTTGGAGTCCAAGCTGCATTTTATGAATTTGGTACTTGCACTCCGGTGGCATCACAGCTCCAAACAAGATGTAGTTATTTCAAAAGACAAAAAATGTTCAGTGAAAGTCCTGCAGGGCAAGGTGGTCACATGAAAATGAAAAGGAAGGAAATGCGGCCATCTGCATACTGCAGATGAGGAACTAAAATATTAGAGACAGAGGCAGCACAGTGGATATCCCTAAAGAGCTGACCATTCCTCCTGCACAAAAAAACTGAGCTTTTTTGGAAAGTTGAGTAATGTGTCCTGCAATACATTCTCTTGGGATATTACCTCACACCCTTTAGACATTTCACTGTATCGGAAGTCTCCTTATTTAAGAGTCTAATATTTCTCTTTCATATTTTCTTCCCATTCCATCTTAAATACCCATGCTCAGCATTAATAAGAACTTTTCATCTAGAGTGTTAAAGCCTGGAATACCTATATAGCAGTATCTTACCTTCTTCCTCTCAAATTTGATTATCCTTCATTTATCCACTTTTTATATATTGAAGTTTTAATCTTTCCGTCTCCCTGTCAATAAAGTTGCTCTTGTCCTTCTCTGTGGATGATGTCTCAAGGTTTCTTTCAGCCCTATCTTACATGGTTCCATGATTTTCTTCAGTGTTTCTGTATTATTGTTATGGTTGCACCCAGAACCGAAATCCAGTGAGCACCTTCTGTGAAGACCTGGCTCTGCCCCCGCTAGAAATCCAATGTGATAACTCCTTGCATTGCACCAGAAGCTGCTGATGCCGTATGAGCAGTCTGTGTATCACTGAGGGTGCTCTTGCCGGCCACCTGCTTGGGTCACCTAAGGGAAGGGTGCCTGCATCTCTGGTTGCCTCCCAGCGCAGGGGTGGACTTGGGGCACCTGGTTCCTTGCCAGGAAGCCTGGAGCCGGCCAACTGTGCTGGGCCGGCAGGCAGGTGTCTGGACACACTTCAAGCGCTGAGTGCCAAGGTTGGCGTGCACGGGATGTGTGGCTGTACGGGCACTTCTGGCACTACAGAACTCTGAGGTGAGTTGAAAGCTGCACCGGAGCTGCTGCTGGGGTCGAGGATGCCAGGCGATGGTCTTTGATCCGATTTCCATCTTCCTGTCCTCGCTCTATTTGTCCTGAGGCGCCTTTGGTGCATATACCAAAGACCACGGAGCCACGGGGGAAAACCTGTCAGGTTGTGACCCATGCCTACCTGCCTGGAAAAAAAAAAAGTCCTTTAATTTAATCGGAGGTGGGGAAGGGTGACCTTTCCGCTTAGAAGACGGCGACAAGCCGTCCTCCCCGCCGCCAGCCCCCGCCCCCGGTCGGTCTCCGCTGGGCAATGAGGATGCTGAACATGCCAACTGCTGGCGGAGGGGGTGGACGGGGAAAGGAAACCCCGTTTCCTCGCACCCCTCCGCAGTTACAACCACAGCACGCACCGGGGGACGGGGCTCACCCACGGCGCGGCGGCGGGAGGCGGGGGGACCGCAGGAGGCGGTGGCGGAGGAGGAGGAGGGGGCGAGCGGCGGGAGGGGAGGGAACACCTCGGCTGGGCGGAACACGCCGGCCGGCGCGGTCCCAGTCTGCCGCGGCCGGGCTGCTCGCGCTGCCGGCGGCTCCCCATCGCCCCGCACGCTCCCCTCGGGGCCGGGGGCGGCGGCGCCCGCCGCATCCCGCCCGCAACTTTCCCTCCCCCGTGGATGGCTTTCGTTGGAGACCCGCAAGGCAACCGGGCGCTTGACACCTGTCCCCCATGGGCCGCCCCCGCGCTTAAGTTTGCCGGCGCCCGGCCCCCCTCCGCCGCCGCCGCAGGGCGGGCTTGAAGCCGCGGCGGGGCCGCGGTGCCCATGGCCGGGCGCCCCGCCGCGCCGACCTGTCCGTGCGCACCGCCCCGTCCCGCCCGCCGGGGACCCGCCGCGCCCGCCCGAGCGCCGCAGCGGGGGCGCTGAGGGAGGCAGCCCCCGTCTCTCCGCCACCGGATCGGCGCCAGCCGCCGTTGCCCGCCGGGTCGCTGGCGGCGGCGGCGGTGGCGGGGGCGGCGGCGGGGCCGCGGGATCCGTCCGCGCTCGCTGCCCCCGTGCAGTTCCCGAGTCGTCTGTCCTCGGCGGCGGTCCGCGGGTGACATGCAGTCCCTCATCTCTCCGGTGACCAAGGCTATCCTGGTGGCTTTGTTCATCTTCGCCATCCTGCTGATCCTCTACGTGATTCTGTGGTACATCTGCCGCGATGTGGATTGCGACCATGGGATCTGAGCGGCGCCGCGGGGACAGGGTTTAGGAGCCGGGATTCACCCCGCGGGGCCGGGAGCGGCAGCGAGAGCCCCGCCGGGCGGCAGCCGCCGCCACTGCGGCCGAGCAGGGGAAGGGAAGGAAAGAAAAGAGGAAAAAAGAAGAAAAAAAAAAGAAAGCGAGAGAAGAATCTAGCCGAAAGAGCCCGGAGGACAACTGCGATCAAGAAACCAACCTGAGCTTGACCTTCAGAGACCAGGGTGACCCGGTAAGTCTCTGCTCTCCGCGGCACGGGGATGCGCGGGTGCGGCGGGGCTGCCTCCCTCCCTCCCAGTCCGCTCACTCTCCTCTCACACACAAAACACACACACCTCCCTCTCACATGCACGCACATGGATGTGGCACAGGCGCCCCACGGCACGCGCACACACACCAGTGGATGTGCGTGCCTGAGTGCCTGCTGCACGCAGGGATGCCTGTCCCCTGGCGACATGCAGGACCCGTCCTGCTGGCCGGGATAAATTGTACCTGCCCCCATCTCCGTGTCTCCCCGCTTTAATTTTCGAGAGGTGACAACGCGCAAAAGGCAGCGCGCCCGCGGGAGCGGCGGGGGCCGGGTGCGGGTGCCTGAGGGCGGCGGGCGGCCGCCGCGCTGCCTTTGCGGCCCCACATTGGTATGCAGGCGGTGACTGCGCCGCCAGGCAGACCGAAAAGGTGAGCTCAGGGAATGGGGAAAAGCCAACGCTTCCTCAGTCCGGGGGCAAATCGGGAAGTTACGGAAAATGAAGGGAAAGATGACAGGTATCTGGCCGGTGCCAGCAGGCAGACTTCGGGGAGGGGATGTGAAGCGGGATAAGTTTCTCCTTGAGCAGGGGCAGGTTGGTGGAAGGAAGTGGGGAGATGACAAAAAATGTGCATGGGAACTTCTGGATGGTAGCAGACCTTGTCTGGTTTCACTGACACTGCATTTCCTACGTGCTACTCTCCCTTAAAAGGGTTAACGCTCAGGGGTTTACCACATGCCCAAGCTCGGCAATGTCAGAAAATGTTGATAAAAAAGTACACAACTGATGAACACGTACGTGCCGAGCATGTTGGGACACAAGAGGGGATGTATCCTGCCCACCCGTTTTCCCACTTGAGAGAATTTGTTGTTGGCTTTTTTATTCTTATTGTTTGGTTGTACTGAATACCCTGTGCTGAAGCAGAGAGACAGCAACACATTGTGTTTAAAGTGGAAAAGACCTACTCAAAGAAAAACGGTCCCAAACACTTGGGCTGTAACTGTTTTTGTCCTTGACACACAAGCTGTCGGGAACAGGAGCAAACTCTCACTGCATGTGTTATCCCTGGCGGGACGTATTTGGATGCTGCAGGGTGTGGGTGCATGTACACAGTGGGCAATAAGAGAAAAATCTAATTCAGGTTTAAAGGGGGAGAACGGGGACCTAGCCAAGTGTAAAGTGTAATTGTGTGGTTCAGGATAATTTGGCATTGAGTATTGGTGATCGAAAGCTCACCTTTGCAACAGGAGGTCTGTATGTGGGAGGAAACTGTTTGGAAGTCGATTCTCTTGCCATTTTGCTTTATGCTTCTGTTCAGATTGTGTTTTCAAGAGCTTTTGACCTGACTAGTTGATCAAACATGACATTACTGTTAACACACGCTACTAATGTGATTATAACAGCAGTGACATCAATGTTTCCTTGCCCTGCAACTACAGTAGCAATGCATTTGTTTACTTCCCCGGTGCACACTCTGAAATGTCTGTTACTCAACAGCTCTGAACAGCAAAGGAAGAGGGGGGAGGAGGAAGAAACTCTTACAGGCGTTTAAAAATGACCACAGCTCTCTCTTATGTGTTTAATTATGTAGAAATAAAATAATCTCCAAGTCTTCTTCTTTATCTTTTTTATTCATGGTTTCACCAGTAAGTACAGTTGTTTTTACCTAAGTGGCAAAAACCTCTTCACACGTTGACACGTCAGGTTGTGTCACATGTTCCCTTCTGAATTAACAGTGGTGCACGCCTTCTGCCCCTCTCCCAGCTGGCAGGAGCTAGCGGGTGAGACGGTTATAGAGGCTTTGCCACTTAGTGTTAATTATTTCACAGTAAAACAGTGTTTCAAACTGTTATTTATAGAACTGGATGGAATGTGGCAAATTAATGTGGTTTTCATAAAACTTTAAATATCAAGAGATATGTGTATGGGTGGTTGAAATACCTGAGGTGTTGACATGACCAAACATATTTTATACTACCCACTATAACTGGTTTTAATCAGCTTAACAATTGCAGAAACCATGAAATAGTCCATTCGGTTATTGTCTGACTATTAGTGTTTCCAGCTGGCTCATTATTATTTTAAGCATATTGTTTCTAAGAGACAAGATGTAGAATTATTTTTTTAATAACAGTTTTTATTCTAAATAAGGTAAATATATATGTGTTTATATATAAATATATATGTAAGTATTTTTAAAAACACAAATGGGTATTTGCCAGCCTAACACAATGTAAAAATAAGAGGAGCAATGATGAGCAGTATTGAATTTCATTCGTAGTTGAAGTCCCAGATGTGTTGGCTTTGGATCAATACTATATATGTTCATTATTGTGTATTAACAAATGCAAAACCCTTAACATCTGAAACCCACCTTTTCCTATTATTGCGACAGTTGATAGAATGAAATCCTAGCCTTGCTGAGCTCTGTGTGGAATTTTGCAGTTGGTTTCAACAGAGTCACAAACATACTGGCAGATTAATATGTGAATTTGAAACAGCATGATGTTACTAAAGTTGAGAGAGCTATTAAAACAGTAAAAACGATGAAATCAGTTACAGTGGAGTACCTACACGCCTTATTTTTGTACTTATTTACTTGTTTGCTCAGAAGTTTGGTGACAATTTTATTTTGATTTGGTGTTATTAGGTGCTCCTGCCCCAACTCAGCAGTTTTCACCAGCTTGCTCTCTCTTAATGTATGGTAGTGTTTCAAAGGTGATATCTGCAATATCAACTGCAACTGAGGTGCAGAGTATAATAGCATCAGTAGATATAGATCAGCTGTAAGTATTTTTTGCTGTAAGACAGTTTGTAACACCAGGAGTAGTGCCTTTGTTCAAGGCAAAGACAACTTGTTATCGTGTTCCTATTTGAGCCAAGAGAAATCTTTGCCATATTGCAAAAATTAGTAATGTTGTGGTCTGAAAGTACGTTTTTAGTCCAAAAGAGTTTAATAGGCTGTTCAAGAATTGTGTAAAAGGATATTGCAAAGCTTTGCCTTTTTATTGTGAAAAACTCTGTGAAGAAGTTACCAGTGCTTCATCAACAGAAGTGTAATGAATTTTATGGATTAATTCCCACTGCAAGGCAACATACTATATAGCATGATCCCAGAAACCCTGTCACATCAGACTTAAACGTGCAGTATGCTTCTGGATAAGTAATTCTTTACTCAATCTCTATTCAGGCAAATTCTCTGAAGATTTATTAAATATTTTCTGAAAGTGGCATGTAAGAGTAACTGGGCAATGAACATCACAGGTTTGCTTATTTTTCAGTTTCTTCCTCATAAAATAGATTAATAAGAATCAGTGTCTTCATGGTATGCCCTTTGTGCATCTTATACCGTTTCCCTAAAACAGGCTTAAAATGAGCACTGAAGATTATTCCAGCATAGGAGGGTCTCCGCAGAGATGAAAGGTTAGCCGAGGTCCAAGGATGGCCAGTGCTGCATCCTCAAGATGTCCTTGTGTCATACGAGTGCTCAGCTGTACTTTTTCCGATCCAGGTGAGTGTAAAGTGGAGTAACCTTCAAGCTGCTGTCAGGCAGGACACGTGGATCTGCCCTATGCAGCGCCAGCCCCATTTGGGGGAGGGCTCGGTCTAGGAGCAATTTTCTACTGTCTGCTCTACGCAAGGTGATGGTATCATAGTTGTTCCTTGTGGCCTTAAAATCTATGAGCCTTAGATTATTGGTTATGTGACAAGCGCTTGGCATGATTTGTGTGTTTATAAACAGCTCGAAGGTGGGATTGTTGGGATTAATTGTACAATTTATACCACGATTCTAGCACTAGAAACTGGCAGGGCCCTTTAAATGACAAATTTTGGGGCAATGTTAGGGAATACAGTGTCACTGTAACGAGTGTATTAAACCTGCAGTGTGAGCAGGCTATATCTTTGCTTCTTGGTGGTGGTGGTGTATGTGAGTTATAAAGAACATGCATATTTGCCCTTCATGTAAAAATCAGGCACTGCGCACACATCAGGTATGGATGTGCCCTTAAATGCTCGCCTGGCTGCTCCCTCCCTGCTGCAGGGCACCGCATCGGGGCTGCAATTGGGCATTCAAACATAGGGGGAAGTTCCACTGCCGTTTCTCAACAGATAACTTTTTCCCCAGTTTTTCTTTGATGCATGAGTGTTTTCTCCTTTTCCTCCTAAGCATTAATCCTCTGAACTGTGACTTAGTGCGTAACGTGGTTTGTAGACAAAGTGCATGGATTGATTTTCCTGAAGCAGGCTGACAAAATGATGAGTGTATTGGAAAGCAGCACACACTTGCTTATTTGTCGTTCTACATTAAACTAAGTTTTCTGATCAAACATCCTAATATCCTTTAAAATAGACTTTTTTATTTTATGTGTTGCTTTTAAATGCTAATATTAATTACTAATATGGTTCATATAGTTGCACAGCAGCATCTGCTCTTGTTAGAGGCATTCTGATAGGTTCTAAAATTTTACCCACGTGAGAAAATTTGAGTTTCAGCTTGGAGGAGCTCATAACACTGTCTGCTGTTGAGAATTATATCCTTATTTTGAATGTTTTGATGTACTGCTTTGGAATACTAAAGATTTTTACTGGCATTTTCACAGGTCATTTAATCATACATAAAGGATACCAATAAGGTGACATTCAGAGTTACAGTTTAGAACATAGTTTGAATGTGGATTATGGTGAAGAAAAAAATGTGGAAAAAATTGACTGATTAAGAAAGAAAAAGGAATGGAAAAAAAAGAAGGAGTAATATTATATCAGGACAGATGAAGAGGGATTCCAGAGTGTTCAAATTTTAAGAGTGCAGCTAATGCAAAGGAAAATGAGACTCTCGCAACACAAGAATTGCCACTTTCCTTTACAGAAAATGTATATACATATTAATATACATATATGTTCACATAGATGTGTGTGTGTGTGTATGTACACATATTTGTACAATGTATGTGATCAAATTAGAAATTTGCAACTCTAGAACATGGTGAGAATTTTTACATGTTTTTTATTGATTTTATTTCTTTATTCTTGAAACCTGACTCTATTGATGTCCAAAATGCATTTACTTCAAAACAGATAGTGTTGCAGATGCTTTTCCTGAGGACTTGATGATCAAACACAAGTGATATTATATATTGAAATTATAAACAAACAGGTTTTATAAAGAAAATGCTAGTGCTCTGTTCACGTCGAAAAAAAAATGAGTTTAGGTTTTGTGGGCTGGAAGAAATATGTTAATAACAAATAGATTTTATGTCTTATTTTTTCCATTGATCTCAAAGAGACAAAGCCCCTACTTGTTAGGGAAAAATCCTATTACGTAATTAACCTATTATGACCAAGAAATGTATGTGAGAAAAAAGAATGTCAGAGAGAAGATAGCAGAACTGTAGTATTTTGGCTAAAACCAGTAATAGCCAACACCTTCTTACAAAAGTACAAATCTTTGATGTAATACATCCTCTGTACTTACGTCTTTAAGTACAAAGGAGGAAAGAACCCCTGTGAAGTTATGGGTGTTAAAACTTATGCACAGTAAAACCTGCTGCATGGTTATGATGCTTTTTGGGTATTATGGTGTCTTATATAAAACCTGTGTAAAAAAATGTTTGGGTTTGCATGAAGTACAGGAATGTATTTCAAGGGCTGTATTTCCCCAAGGGCTGGGGAAAAAAAAGCCTTTTGTATGAATAATCTCTTTCATATTTATTGCATATTGGAGTAAACCTGAACACATAGAGAAAAATTTATTTGCTATTTTGCTCTACCATTTCAGTGGTGAGTTGCATATGCTGTGAACCCTATTAAATGAATAACCAACAAACTCACTGTGATACCTACCACAAAAATTAAACAAGGTCTTCATTAAGTTGTGCTCGTCATGGAAACTATGTGTGACATAGTTAGCTGACTTGCAAGGCATGTTTCTTATACGCTTTTACAATTAGTGCATTTCTGAGCATACTGTCATCACCATCCTTGTGAGATACGTATATGAGATTAGCTCAGTTGGTTAGAGCATGGTGGTTATAACGCCAAGGTTGTAGGTTTGATCCCCATAGGGCCATTCTCTTAAAGAGATGATCCTTTTCAGTCCCTTCCAACTCAGAATATCCTGTGATTCTCTGTGATATAAATGGGCTTAAAATAAGTTTGTGATCAGTCTGTATTCTAATGACTTGTTTTTATTTTCTACTGCAATACCATTCTGACATGCTTAATAGGGATGATAACTAAGTGGGAATTTAATGAAGTCTTGATATTGGACACTGAGCACACAGAGAGACACTCATCAGTATGTGTTTCTAGTGACAGATTCAGCATGATTGAACTTGGCTGCAGTGGCCATGAAAAGGGTGGAGTTCAAGATCCTTAGGTCAGCAAGGAGAGTGCATAGCAAGCTCACTACCCTGCACTTCAGTAGAGCAGACCTGTGACTTCTTCAGGATCTGCTTGGTAAAGTACCATGGGATAAAGCCGTAGAGGGAAGAACAGCCCAGGAAAACTGGATGATATTCAAGGATTGCCTCCTCCAAGACCAAGAGCGATGCATCTCAACAAAGAGGAAGTCAGGCAAAAATGCCAGGAGGCCTGCATTGAACAGGGAGCTCCTGGACAAACTCAAACACAAAAAGAAAGCCTAGAAAGGGTGGAAGCAGGGACAGGTAGCTTGAGAGGAATTCACTGAAAAAGCTTCTATAGATATCTGGGTGATAAAAGGAAGACTAAAGAAAATGTGACTCCTCTCCAGAAGGTGGTTTCCCAGGACATGGAGAAGGTTGAGGAACTAAATAACCGTTTTTTTGGGTACACAGGCAGGCAGTGTGTGCACGTCCTTGTTTCCATCCTCTCTAGGCTTCCTTTTTGTGTCTGAGTTTGTCCAGGAGCTCTTTCCACTAGACAGAGCAAGTTGCTTAAAGCTCCATCTAGCTTGACCTTGAAGACTTCAAGGAATAGGGCATCCACAACTCTGTGCAACCAGTTCCAGTCTTTCGCCACCCTCACAGTAAAGAATTTCTTCCTAAGATCTAATCTAAACCTTTCTAAATTTAAATCTCTTTCAATTTAAAGCCATTTCCCCTTGTCCTGTCACTACATGCTCTTGTAAAACGTCCCTCTTGTAGCCCCCTTTAGGTCCTGGAAAACTGCTATAAGCTCTCCCTGGAGACTTCTCTGCTCCAGGCTGAGCAACCCCATCTTTCTCAGTCTGTTATAGGTGAGGCGATATGTTCCCCTGGTCATTCCTGTGTGCCTTCTCTGGACTCTCTCCAGCAGGTCCATGTCTTCCCTATGCTGAGGCTTGCTGAAAGCTGGAGTTGAGTAGTCTCCATCTTTGGATCTTTTCAAGACCCCTTGAGCAACATGGTCTGACCTGAAAGCTGGCCCTGCTTTGACCAGTAGAGAGGACTACAGAGTTTCTGAGGTCCCTTCCAACTTGAACTGCCCTAGGATTGTATGATCCTATCAACCATGTATTCTTGAGAGTCTTTTACTGGAATGAGTACTGGCTGGCTTGTTGTTAACATATTCTTTCCTTAATGTGTGCTAACTAGGTAAACCAAAAGGATGGAGACACAGAACTGGACTGTTCTGAGTAGCTCATGCTTACATTTTACATCTGCAGTTCCTACACAATACCTCTGGATATGGCATGGTCTGAAGCTGAAGTGGTACATACCGGCGCATCACTACAGCAGAATGACCACTGTGCTTATACACGGAGAACGAAACCTTCGCAGGAAATAGTAACTTGAAGATAGAATGTATTTTTAGCCTTTTAATTCTTACACCTCTGTGGGGACTCCAGCACGTTTCTAGGAACTGGAAATTAATTCAGTTTCATTGCTCTGACTATAATATAACCATGCTGGGCATACTCTTGTGTAGTGTAATTTTTTTTCATAATCTTGTCCAATTTTTATCTTACTTTGTGTTTGTCTTCAGCTGTACAAACCCTGTTACATTAAGTGTAATGTCCACATGGGTAGTTGGTACAGTAGGATTTTCAGGTATTGCCTGGCTTAAATTTGAACTGCTTTGAAGAGAAAAACAATCTCATGGGAATAGCACACTTCAGCATCAAACCTGTCATCTCATACCTAGGCTACTCACAGTTTATATATAGGTGGAGAGCAGAATACTAACTGGAGAAAAAGGCCCTTAATGCAAAAGGCCATTGTACCTTTTCTTCTCAGGTAGAAAAATCCTTCTCCTCAGCACTTGGAAGTGTGCTGCAACACCTGCCTGCCATTCTGGATGCTGGGCAGATGCTGGGGAGAGCAGGGAAGTTTCACAAGGTGATAGTGGACATCCTTTATTCTGACATTTCATTGTACACCTAAGTGTAATCCAAATTTACTAGTTTAGGTTATCAAGAGTGATTATTTTCAGTGCAAATCTGAAATAAATGAGAGTTGCAGTGCATCTGCTGTCAGGGGTTCAAACACTGATTATCTCATGTTTGTACACAGACTCACTGCCACCCCTCACCTTATTAAACTGTTAGAAAGC